CACAAAAAAGACACAGCTAAGAAAGAGAACTACAAACCAATGTCCCACATAAATATTGATGCAAAAATACTCAATAAAATACTGGCAAATTTAATTTAAGAACACATCAGAGAAATCATCCACCATGACCAAGTAGGCTTCATTTCAAGGATGCAGGGATGGTTCAACACATGAAAATCTATCAATGTGATCCATATAAACAAATTGAAAAAGAAAAGACACATGATCATCTCACTAGATTCTGAAAAATCCTTCATGATAAAGGTCTTGGAGAGATCAGGAATACCAGAAACATACCTAAACATAATAAAAGCAATATACTGAAAACCAACAGCCAACATCAAAAAATGGAGAGAAACTCAATATACTTCTTCTAAAATCAGGAACAAGACAAGGCTGCCCACTCCATATTTCTTCAATATTGAACTTGATATACTATGTAGAATAACAAGACAACAAAAGGAGATCAAAGGGATACAAATTGGAAAAGAAGTCAAATTTTCACTATTTGCAGATGATATACATAACTGACCCAAAAAACTCTACTAGGGAACTCCCACATCTGATAAATACCTTCAGCAAGATACAAGATTAACTCAAACAAATCAGTAGCCCTACGATATACATACCATAACGGGGCTGAGGAAGAAATCAGAAAAACATCCTTTACAATAGTCACAAACAATATAATATCTTGGGTTAACACTAACAAAACAAGTGAAAGTCCTATATAATAAGAACTTTAAGTCTTTAAACAAAGAAATTAAAGAAGATGTCAGAAAATGGAACGATCTCCCACGCTCTTGGATAGGTAGAATCAACAATGGCAATCTACAGATTCAATGCAATACCCATCAAAATCTTAGCACATATCTTCACGGACCTTGAAAAAACAATACTCAACTTTATATGGAAAAACAAAAGACCCAGGATAGCCAAAACAACACTGTACAATAAAGGAACTTCTGAAAGCATCACCATCCCTGACTCCAAGCTCTATTATATAGCTATAGTCTGGAAATAACTTGGTATTGGCACAAAAATAGGTAAACCAATGGAATTTAATTGAAAACTCTGATATTAACCCACACATCTATAAACACCTGATTTTTGACAAAGAAGCTAAAATTATACGATGGAAAAAGAAAGCATTTTTAACAAATTGTGCTGGCATTATTGGATGCTCACTTGTAGAAGACTGAAGATAGATTCATACCTATCACCATGCACAAAGTTCAAATGGATCAAAGACCTCAACATAAATACAGATATACTGAACCTCTTAGAAGGAAAAGTGGGTGGTGCCCTTGAACACATTGGTACAGGAGAATGATTCCTGTATAAAAACACCAGTAGTACAAACATTGAGATCAACAATTAATAAATGAGACCTCAAATTGTAAAGCTTCTGTAAGGCAAAGGACACAGTCAACAAGACAAAATGGAAGCCCACAGAAAAGATCTTCCCCTATCCCACATCTGATAAACTGCTGATTTTCAAAATATACAAAGAACTCAAGAAACAAATAATCCAATAAAAAGTTGGGTACAGAACTAAATAGAGAATTCTCAATAGAGAAATTTAAAATGGCTTAAGTAAGAGTTCAACATCCTCACCCATCAGAGAAATCAAAACAAAATATATCTGAGATACCATCTTACTCCTGTCAGAATGGCTAAAATCAAAAACAGCAAACACAGTTTATGCTTGAGAGGATGTGAAGAAATGGGAATACTCCTCCACAGCTGGTGTGAGTGCGAACTCATACAAGCCACTTTGGAAATCAGTATGATGGTTCCTCAGAAAAATGGGAATCAGTCTATCTAAAGATCCAGCAATTCCACTCTTAGGTATATACCCAAAAGATGAACATTGATACAACAAGAACATCTGTTCAACTATGTTCATGGCAACATTATTTGTAATAGCTAGAACCTAGAAGCAACCAAGGTTGCTTCTCAACAGAAGAATGGATGCAGAAAATGTGGTACATTTACACAATGGAGTACTACTTGGTGGGGAAAAACAAAGCAAAACAAACAAACAGGAAAAACAATGGAATCTTGAAATTCCCAGGCAAATGGATGGAACTAGAAGAAAACATCCTGAGTGAGGTAATCCAGTCACAAAAAGACAAACATGGTATATTCTCACTCGTTTTGTATATGTATTTTAGATCTAGACTAAAGGATCACCAGCCCACAATCCACATTGTCAGAAAAGCTAGGAAACAAGGAGGACCCTAAGAGATACATTGTCCCATGCAGAAGGGGAAACTTCCAAGATCTTCTGAGCAAATGGGAAAATGGGGGAAGGGGAGAGTGAGTTAGCAAGAAGAAAGGGGTAGAAGAAGAAGGGAGAGGAGGGCATGAGAGAGTAGGAAGTTTGAGTCCAAGAAAAGATACCATAATAGAGGGAGCCATCCTAGGTTTAAAGAGAAATCTGGCACTAGGGAAATGTCCAGAGATCTACAAGGACGACCCCAACTAACAATCTGAGCAACAGTGGAGAGACTACCTTAAATACCCTTCCCTGAGAATGAGATTGATGACTACCTTATATGCCTTCTAGAGACTTTATCTAGTAGCTGATGGAAATAGAAGCAGATCCCCCAGCTAAACACTGAGCCAACCTCCTGGAATGCAGTTGCTGACAGGGAGAAGTGATGAGCAAAAGGGTCAAGACCAGGCTGGAGAAACCCACAGAGACAGCTGACCTGAACAAGGGGGAGCTTATGGACTCCAGTGTGATACCTGGGAAACGAGCATAGTATTGACACAGACCCTCTGAATGTGGGAGTTAGTTATGAGGACTGGACAGTCTATGGAGCATCTGGTAGTGGATCAGTCTTTATCCTTAGTAAAGGAATGGACTTTGGGAGCCCATTCCACATAGAGGGATACTCAGCCTAGACACATAGGGGAGGGCCTGGGCCCTGCTCCAAATGATATGATATACTTTGAAGATTCCCCCATGGATGGCCTCACCCTCCCTGGGGAATAGAAAGGGGACTGGATGGGGGTTGGGATGGGGACATGGGAAGAAGGGAGGGTGGGGGAACTGGTATTGACATGTAAAACAAGCTTGTTTCAAATTTAAATAAAAAATTATCATAAAAAATGGATCCTCGATTAGGCCTCACACTCAAAGGTACTTATTCAACTTTGTGCTCATTATCTCCAAAAGAAGTCACCTGCTGCCAAAAATTCAATGTCACAGATGTAAGAGAACCAGGAAGCTTAAGGCTAGAGCATCTCATATAATGCAATAAAAATTAAGAAGGCCTAATCTTATAAGCATGATAATGATACAGGTATGTAATATTTTATTATTCTGGTTAAATATAAAGACTTAAAAAATCTATCATATATGTTACAGATCATGGAGCAAAAACCACATTCTGCCAGTCTACCAAGCTTCCCACACACAGCTGGGTCCTTTCCTTTTGGATATCCTGGGGTTCTCCTGGGATGGGGCTGGAAGGTTGGAGGGGGAAGGCGTTATTCTCATGAAGAGTATAGCAATGTTCAGTGACCACAGGAATCTGCCCAAGTTATGTTCACAACATTGGCACTGTGCAGAAAGGCCAGTCAGTTCCTGAATGACCAAGAAGAGGATTAAAGGAGTGTATATTTTTGTATGTTCGCCAGCCTGTGTGTAGGGGTAATGGCAGAGTTCTTCAGGTAAGGAGAGCAGAGAGAGTATGAAGCATGAGATTTAATAGTGAGGCTGCTAGGCAGAAAGACTGGAGTGTTGCCCTGTGGCCACTCACAGTTTGTATACCCCTCATACATGACCTTAGGGACCACGGCTTCCCTGTGCTAGGATTTCTGGACAGAAGAATGCCAACAGCAACAGCAGCATTCATAAGACACATACATTTATCACACCACTTCCCTTTAAGAGCCACAGAACAGCACATAGCAATGAATGTCCATCCTTTGTCTGGATCCTGAGAAGACAAGGACTTGGAGCCTAACCGTAAGTGAGACTCTGTATCTGAACTTCATCTGTTTGATGATAAAGCAACTCTCAGTGCAGATTGTTTATTGTAGGAACCATGCTAAATAAAAGAGCAATGGCTGACCAATCCTGGTTCAATTTTGTTGTTAGCTTGATACAACCTAGTGTTAAACTGAGAAGAGAGAGCCTCTGCTGAGGAATTGGATCAAACAGATTGGCCTGTGGCATTGTCCATGAGGATATTCTCTTGATTGGTAATTTAAATAGGAGGGTCCTGCTCACTGTTGATAGTGCCATTCCTGGGCCCGTGGGCCTGGGTTGTATAATAAAGCTCATACCAGGGACAGCATGCCAGTAAACAGCATTTCTCCATAGTTTCTACGTTATTTCCTGCCTGACTTCCTTCAAAGATGGACTGTAACCTGGAATCCTGAGATGAAAACAACAACAAAAAATAACCCTTCCAAGTTGTTTTTGGCCTTGGTGTTTTCTCTGACCTTCTGCACTGGCTATAGCCTCTTCCCTTTCCAGTAGAGACTCCATCCCAGAACCACTAACCTTTCCTACCATCTCTGAAACACATCTCTTCTCCATAGTACAGCCCAAAGATGATCTCACATCATCTTTACCCCCTGTGTGGTCTCCCCTGTGCTAGTATCTTGGTCAACTCACTATGACTACACCTGTCTTGAAGGTGCTCCTTGTTGGTGCTCTGTTTCCACCAAGTGTTCTCCCCTGTAAGGGGCAGGTCCATGGTACCACAGATAAACAGCATATATGCAGAGAGGCACAGGGCTCTGTTTTAACCTGTCTGTTCACCCCTGACTAACTTGCCTGCAGAAACGTAGAAGGTACTTACCTTACAGCCCCTCTGTTTCTACAGGTAAGAATGACATCAACTTGAGCAGTAAGAGGATAGATTACCTACAAGCTGATATCTGGGAAGATCTCTCTGGTCTAAAGAATAAAAAAAAAAAAAAAAAAAAAACATGACCCCCATCCCTGCACATGTACTCTGATACCAGTTCTTGCCTACCTTCCTGATGCCTTCTGAAGGGTTGGATACACAGTTGTCTGCACCTCCATTCTTGCTTATGGTCCTCCAGAGCTCAGCAAAAGTGCTATCCTGCTCCAGGGGATTGGTACCCTTGGCTCTGAAGTACTCATAGACAGCAGAATCCCGGACAGTACCATAAGACATCTCCAGTTGCTTGGACAAGTCCTGAAATGTCCTGAAAGGCAGAGAGGGGGTGACATATTGGTACCTGCTGCACAATACACATTGTAAGGATAAAGCAGGCTGCAAGTTCCTCCTGAGTTCTAAGCCCTACACTGACCACTATTCAAATTCCTCACATGCACATTCAAACATCTTTGTCCCTCAGCCTGGAACCAGGCCTCCATATTTCACAGCTACGTTTCCTCAGTAAGATTACCAGGCATATAAAACCAGGTTCTGTATTGAGCTCAAAGCAGAGAGCAGTAAGAAATGATTCCTGTAATCAGCAAGCTTCAAATATATATATATGCAGGAGATCACAGTACAACAGAGTCAGGACAACAGGAAACACTAATTACTGATGGTTTCTGCCCTGAGTATCCAAAAGCTGAGCAGGAAAGATGGATGATGTGCATGACTAGGCCCCGACACTTGGGGTTACTGTGGCACAGACACACACTATGATGCTGCATCAATTAAGAGACATCCCCTCCAACACTTGCAGTTATGCTGGAGTTTCAGCCAATTAATGATGTTCAGCACCTAGCAACCTATCTGATTTTTTGAGAAAGTAATGAAAAGCTGATTTTTACATGGATCTCCTGATTTTTTTTTTTTAAGTATTGAAAGATACTGACAATTAAGCAGCAATACTATGGAGGGCCTGGGTTCATTTTACAGAGAGAACAAGCAAGTAACAGGGCACAGGTTAGAAGACCAGAGTGTCTCGGAAAGTCACTTCAGCAGCCTGAAAACAGACAACGAAGCTGGGTACAGAGAAGGTGTCTTTACCAAATGAGAAATGCATATACTTCCTGACTTTCTGCTTTGTATGGTAGCAAAGCCATCTTAAACTGACAATGCCATTAAGTTGAAAACATGCTTCATATATCTCCCTAACTCTACTATGCCTGTATCACTCAAATTACCATACATGGAATACCATGCCTGTTTTGTAATAAAGTATGGAAAATCTGCTACTTATTTAATGTGTGTACCTCTGTGAGTGTGTGTGTATGTAGACCTGGCAACACAGCACATTGTAGAGGGTCAGTTTAAACCCACTCAATCACCTGGCCCACTTAGAGATCCAGTAACTGCTGCCAGCCAGCCCCACAAGAGAGACTCCTTCCATACATCCCTAGCCCGGGAAGAGATCCAAAGTCAACATGTAAACTACAGTTTCTAGTGCTTGTTATTTTCATACCATTAGAACATCAAAGACACTTTAATTGAGCCACTGTTAAAACAGGAATCTTCTGTAGTGAGGGCAGGAAGGATGAATTAGTACAGCGCTCTTGTTTGCTGTTTGAAAAGTGGTGTCCATCATGACACTTAGGATGCCATCTACCAGTTCAATTTACAAAATTTTTTAAAAATCCCAATGGGAATCCAGGCTTTCTCTCCAGGGTCTAACCAGATAACTTTTTATTTCTTTCTCTTCTGAAATTCTCAGTATATACTCTTATCAACCCATACCATCACCTGTATCTCTCACTGCATCTCCCACCCCCCACCCAGGAAGAGCCAACCCAACTGGCATGTTTTGCTTTTCTGTTGATGTAATAAACAACATGACCAAAAGGAGGTTGGAGAAGAATGGGTTTACTTCATCTTACAGCTTAAAGTCTGACATGAAAAAGAAGTCAGGGCAGGAACCTGGAGGCAGGAACTGAAGCAGAGACCATGGAGGAATGGTGCTACTAACTTGCTCCCCACCTGCCTTGGGTTTGAACCAGCCCTAGTAAACTGAACCCTTCCACATCAATCGCTAGTCAAGAAAATCCTCCAGTGTCTTACCTACAAGCTGTCTGATGGGGGCATTTTCTTAGTTTAGTGTCCACCTTCCCAAGTCTTCCAAACTTGGGTCAATTTGACAAAACAAACCAACTAATCTTACCAGGCTGATCTGCTAATCTCCAGTGGTTTTCCCTATCCCTATTTAGCAACATTACCAACTTGAAAATAAGAAATGCCACCCATTTTCCTTTGAGCTACCAGACTATGCCTCCCACTTTGCCTGGAATCCCTTTATCTCATCAACGTATCTGTGTACTTCTATAAAGTCATCCTTAGCTCAGGGCACCCTATACTGCTAGCTTGAAGGCTAACATTGCTGCAGTATCTCACTGTATTTCTAGGAACAGCATTCCACAGCAAAAATAAGCTATAGCTCTGGAGTCCACCTGATTGTCTAGTTTCTAGATCCCACCAATTCTAATAGGTGGGCCTGGGCAAGTTCATTAGTATCTTTATGCTTCAGTTTCCAAATCTTAAGACGAGAGCCAGAAGCAGAGCCTGTAGGAGTGTGTAGTTACTGAGAATTAAGTAAGACTCATGCTCAGGTCAAAGAGCAGTCCTTGATGGGGTTAATGCCCAAGAGCTAGAGGTCATGATTCTGAGCTAGCAATATACACATGGGTCCCACCAGAGGTACGGATTTGGAGAACTGGAGCTGAAGCAGTCCCATCATTTCCCTGTGGCCCTGGGTCCAGGGCTGATATCAGCCTGCACGCAAGCATATGAGGGCCAGAAGTATATAGCTGCTTCCTTCTGCTGTGTTACTACATTCTAGCATTCCCCTGATCCTTTCTTTGTGGCTCAGAAACAGAGCTCAACGTTCACATTGCAGATGAAAGGAAACATAAAATAACAAATTTGATGAAGAAATCTTTCTAATTATTGTTCATTATTTATATCTAATTGAAGCAAGATGTTCCTTTGCTTGAAGAGCCCCAAGGGTTGTAACTCTGCTATAATTTGCCTGTAATGAAAGGAGGGGAAATCTTCTTTTTCCTACATATTTTTTTTTTATTTTTCTCATGGTAATACAAACAAACAGAAGCTTTGATGAATGGGAAACATCAGGGTGAATTACACAGTTGAGTCTAAATACTGAACTCCTCTAAATTACTGCAGTTTCCACAAGTATGGAATGAATGCATAACTTCCAGGGAGCTCTGATCTCCTGTTTCATCCCCACATTTGAAAGTGAGATTTCCTCCATCCTGTGTATTTATTCATGATGGTGCTCCTGGCCAGAGGCTCAGGCAACATAAGCGATGACAAGCAGGCAGGCTGAATGTTAATGGCTCTATCTCCCTTTCTGATCCAGCATAGCTTATTGTCCCCTCTTCCCTAAGCATCACTTCCAGCCTGCGAAGCTTCACCTTCTGTCTCATGGCCTATTTAGCACCTCCTATAGCCACAAGTTTGTACACAGAGATCGCTCCAACCATAGATGCATACTCTCTCAACAAAGAATTCCATGATCACTTCCATAACTGTCACAAAGTAGGTTCAACCATCATGTTTTTGAGTGTCTAATCCTAAAGTGACCAGAAGTGGTGGGCCTACCTAAGGACATACCAAAACTATCATCTCCCTGGACAGACTCCCTCTTGTCAGAGTGCAGAGTTTTGACAGAGGCACATGGGGAAGAATAATGGAGAGTAAGAACAGCCAGTCAACTTGGATTCCAAGCCAGTACTGGCAATCATCAAAGAAAGATGTTGAAAGCAGATAGGAAACCCATCAAAAAAAAAAAAAAAAAAAAAAAAAAAAAGTGAAGGAGTATCACCAGGAGAAAACTACACTTGGAGCACATATAATTAACGTTTTCTGAAGCCACTCTTTTCAGCAAAGAGTCACTACAAGTATCCAGGCACTTACATTATAAGACAGATGAAGGGCATGCCCAATCTTCACAGGTCAGATTTCTGTCAATCCAGTGTGTACCGCACACCGCGATAAAGTCCCTGAACCAGTTACTGCCCCAAACAGTTCCTAGACATTTAATAGGTCAAGCACAGTGAGAACTAAAGCAGGAAATGAAGAGGTAGACTCTCCTAGAGGTTTACAACAGGACTTACATGAGCAGATGGAGGAAATAAAAAAAAAAAAAAGCCAAAACACCACTGCAAAATATTGTGAGTTGGAGTGAAATACAGTTACAAATGAGGTACCCCTGGAAAACCAGGAGAGGAGCCAGACATAAGAATGGGTTCCCTAAAGAAACATTTAGCTAAATCATATAGCCTGGATCGAGGCAGCCAAGGAGAACCAATGAGTAGTACAGTCGAGGAAGAGAAGTTACCTGTGTAGGCCCTGATAGGTGAGAGGACATGGTTTACCTGGAACACACAGCACAGACTGATTGTAGGCAGCTCTGGATGCAATCCTGTCTTAGATGTACCAGTCATCTGATGTACCTAATCAGCTCTCACGTGGTCTTTGAGGCTGCAGTCTCAACTGGCCCGTTGGCATGATGAGAAATGGAAATTCTTGATCCTCACCACAGATGGAACAATTCAGAAACCCTTGGGTTGGAGCTGGGCAGCTGTGTTTTCACAGCTCTTCAAGTGACTCTAATGAATTGAGTTCCAAAAACGTGGACCAAAGCAACACATTTAGTAGCTGAGGTCTTAGCTTTCCAAGTCATCCCTGTTTCACAGGGTTGATGAATATTAAATACCACAGGCATTCATCCAGCACATAGTCAAGGTTCAGTATGTGTCTGCTCTTCTGGTAGACTCTCAACAAGCAGCCCCAGTGTTCGAACCATTGTGCCCACATGGCAGAGTTAAAAATGGTATGTTTCTACATTTTACATTCTAAAAGACTGAAACTTTGGCTGGAGCTCACAGTAGAGTTAGTGATATACCAAAAGGTCACTTAAGACTTGGCTTGATATCCTGCAGTATACACAGTCTATTTGTTTACCCTGCCTTTAAGAGAACAATGTAACAACCAATTGCATTTGCCTTGGATTTGCCATGTAATCTGGTGACGCAGTCTAAGCTAATGCAGAGTTTTCAACTCAAATTATGGACTCTTCCATGCCTCTGATTTAGAGCAGCCAGTAGGGGCTAAGCATTTGCAGAAAACAGCCAACAGGTCAAGAGTAACCTTATACAACAAATACCCAACACAAGTTTTGGAATCAGCATATAGACATTGCGTGATAACAGTACGTTTGCAATACTGTTTGATAGCCAAGTCAGTTGGGGTCAG